TGGTGCCAACGGGACCCATGAAGTATTTTGTACCCATGATCTCCCTTTTTTCGCTCGATTCTACCCCCAACAGAAGTCGGTCAGGCTGGGTGTAGGCTGGTTGGATTGGGATGGGAGGGATCCGCGTAGTGTGTGCATTGCACCCCCACTGCTGGTTGCCCGTTTTCTTGGGCTTTCGGAGGAAGGCGGCGAAGCAGGGTTCGCGTCGCGCGTTCCCTGCTAGGCGGCGCTGGGGGTGTCGATTCTCTCCAACCAAGTTTCAAAGGTCAGCTTGGAGGATCCGAGGAGGAATATGGGCGGCTGGGTTACGACGAGCGAGGCAGGAGGGAGGGACAGGTGAAGTACACGTAGTAGGAAGGGGAGGGCTGTGCCGCGAGAAGGGTTACCCAAAACGGAGTGACCGACCAAAGCAGCACTGTCTGGTTTTGAACATAGTGCACCAAGTGACAAAGTGGAACAGATTATACACCCAACCACCGCTATTTTCAGCCCCGAACCCTTGCTCTATTCCCGCGTTTCGAAGATACCCCGCACGCATTCAATTATTTCAGTTGGGCACTGATCAACATGAGCACCCCGATTTTCAATGTTGAGAAACGCATGAAAGCTAATCTGAGACAATTACCGCTCGTGTGAAGGGGCGCTCTTGCTGTTGCGAATTCCCTTGTGCCACTTCTACTCTTTTTGGGGCTCTGGAACTAACTCACTGTGAAATAGTGTGAAATTTCTGACGCCCACACAACCCTCGGTCAAAGATTCCAGAAAGGGTGCATACCCACTTGCGCAAGTGGGCTTGAAAATAGACCGAAAGAAAATAGCGGTGGCTAGGTGTACCTACCTCTTCTCAGTTCTGTTTACGCGAACATTTTTTCCCGCTGTACTTTTACTGTAGGTGCAGAATAGCGAATAGAGTGCCTCGGCTCGATGCAGCAATTCAAGATTTAACTACGCGACGCGACGTGTTCAATATTTTTTTTATTCCTGTAAACTAACCTCGCACCGCTTTCCATGTTTTTAAATATCTCTCAATCCCATGGACTAATACAAACGCTTTCGCGGTATGTTCACACTTACTCTGGAAAGAGTGTTGAGATAGTTTCGCTGGAAGTTACATTCTCGAACAGGCATGGTTAACCCTACCTTCCTTGTTTTTGTTTTATTTGATAGATATTCAGGTAATACAGTGCCGTCTAGGTTGTCACCTACTCAGGTGCGTGAGGGAATGCTTGCCGCTGCGATGGTCAACGTACAGAAATTATAACGCGATTATGTCTAATCTTATTCGGTACAGTTGTACATTCTGCAGTGATGCAAGATCCCATGGAAATATCTACCATCCATAAAATTAATAAAAGAAACGACTGGTCCAAAACGGTACAATTGATCTGCAGAGTGGCGTATGCAGACGACGATCTTGCATTGAAATGGTCTTCATTACTTTGATGTAACGCGCCCTCAAGGCAGTGGTCTTAACTCTACCGGGTGATGAGGAACATTGTAGAGACACTTGGATAACTCACAACAACAAAATATCTATCGTTCTCATGCCACTATGCATCACGGCGTTAGTATGGATCATGGCTACAGACGCGCAAAAAGACAGCTCCTACGCTTGGTATGCAACCATTGCATCGGGATTGCGTTAGATTCGTTATCATGAAAAAACAACCAATTGTTGGGGACCCTAACATCGAGAAAGCCAAACAGACAGAACAACCGCACCGTAATGGCGGGTGTAGAAACAAGTGACAGTCCATGGGATTGAGAGAAATAAACAAAATAGGGAGGGTTGTTCGGTGGTATTTCGCATGATTGAGCAAAATGTGAAACACATCGCGTAGTGCAATTATTTTGCAATTCAAGCAAGGATGAGGGCCAACATTATAGCATGCAAATTAGTATGGTAGCCCTATGCAATTGTATGCAAAACCGTCGATACCCGAGTTGGCCGAAGAAGGGAATGGTGATTTGCCAGGTACACCGTCGTTACCTGTGTCAGCAGTACAGCCGATCCAGCATATATATATATATATATATATATATATATATATATATATATATATATATATATATATATATATATATATTCACGAAGCTCCTGGTACAAAGCAATTATCATTGTCGAAATGTGGCAAATATGAGGGGTCAATTTGCATTTTGCTTGGCATGATCCGAATTCGCGTTTGACTGTGATTGTTTGTGTTATTTCGAATCGGATATCGGATGGAAAAGTTACTAATCGAAAGCAAGACCTAAAACTGAATTCGGTGCTCGTACCTGCACAGTAACACGGATTACACATGAGTAGATTTCCACGCAAATGTAGATTGCACCTGAAAATGGCCCCCAATTCAGGAGGTAGGGTTTGTAGAAATCGGTCTCTTGGATTACTAGGGTGAAAGGTAGAAATGCACCAGTTGCGAAGCGCGCCTGGTGCATTAGCAATGATCGGAACCTGCCGGGGGCAGAACCGGGAAAATGCTTCCCCAGTTAACAACGGCGGAACAATGCACTGTACTAGTTAATACCTGTACTGTACAGTACCGAGTTGGTCGGTGGTGCCCTCGGTCGGCAGTCGGCCAGGTTTACAAGCAGCATACGACAAATCTAGCGAATCACCTGAAGATCGGTGACACTGTACTGTACGAGCTAGCGCCCCCATAACGCGACGCGGCTCTTCTAGTGGCAAGGCATCCGAGGGTAGTTCCAGCTGTCGGGAAGATCTCGAACGCAACAATTCAGGTGATTTGCTACGCTGCGGATATTCCGAGGCGATTCTGGCTCGACGCGGCGGCGGCTCCTCTGGCGCGGCATCCGCGGGTAGCTCCAGCAGTCGACTCGATGGAGGAAGTGACTCAGGAAGCGATGGAGGCCGTCGATCTGTCGGAAGGACGAACGGCTACTGTTGTTTCTCAGGCAAGCACTCACATCACCTCGAGAATCGGTGCCGAAACTGATTACGGCAGAAGCGCAGATATCAGCGCCGGAAAGCTGTCGTCTGAGCCCTCGGCGGTAAGCATTGCCTTCACGAGCGCGCACCACCGGTTTCTGAATAATATTACTACCGGAAAACGTGTATTAGCGGCTAATATTAATCACGCATGAATGGTGACGAGCACATATTCTTCCTCTCCAGTCGTCCAAAAACGTCGCCCCGGGCGATACAGGGGCCCTAATATGATCTTCGCTTCGCCCCTAATATGATCTTCGCTTTCCGCGCTAATCAGTCATAAGCAGCTTCCATTTTCCGGTCAGGAGGGTGTGTGCCGTTTAGTTTAGATTGGCGGATCTCCTCAAAGGCTTCTGACAGACAGACGGACAGACAGCGAGTGGGTTCAATCGACGGCGCTGCCGACGCGCTCGCGGATTACTGCTAATCTCGATATGAGCAGCATCTATGGCGCCCTCCTGGTGCCCCAGGCGCATCACAAAACGTGCGTGTGACAGCATAATTCTAGTTTTGAGGCGCCTCAAAACGTGCGTGTGACAGAGCATAATTCTCGGCTTTGAGAATAATACGACTGCAAGTCTATCAGGTCCCAGGACACTTCAAACGGCATTCCCCTTCTCTCACCCCTCCGCCCCCCTCTTCCCCTTCTTTCTTTCCCCACCCCAGCACTTTTTCTCAGGGTAGATGTTCTGTATATCCACCATTAAGCACTACTGTGCATCCGTTTAGTCATCATTGGATTGCGTTCACCATTCATCATGCATCAGGCATCAATCATCACGCAGAATGCATCATGCATAATGCGTCATGCATAAGGCATAATGCATCATGCATCATGCATAATGCGTCATGCATCAGGCATCATGCATCATGTATAATGGTAAGTCTGGACGTCATAACACATAAGCCATCAATTACGCAGCTTTGTTACGCCAGAAGCCTGAAGTCTCGTACAAGTGCTACCAATCTCTCCCTGGCACTTCGCTGCTACCACCAATGATCAATCTCTCCCCCTGACACTTTGCTGTTACCACCAATGCTACCATTCTCTTCCCGTACTTGTCGCTACACGCTTCTCTGCTTTTAATCCGTGGCAGGTCGCATGGATCCCCATCCCGCAGGGCATCCCTGCCTGCATCTGTGGCTGTCAACAAGTCTCCAACCGGCATCGCTGCTTCATCACCATCACCATCACCATCATCAGATTCATCAAAATCATCATCACCATCACCATCGTCATTGTCGTTGAATCCAGTACTACTATTGGACTCATCACTGCCGCTCTATCATGGAGCCGCCGCAGCAGCCCAAGCTTCTGGCGCTGCGGCGGCCGCAGCCACATCGAGCAGCCATGGCGGATCCTGTCGCCATTCGCTCTGCCGTCGCCGCAGCCTCACGCCTCCACGCCGCCCCTCTGCCGCTCTGCTGCTGTTTCCGCTGGCTTCCGCGCGTTCCCTCTGCGACAAACGCTTGCTGCTGCTGCTTGCTCTGCTCGGGACGCTTCTTGTCGGTTTCCTCGGCGGTTTTGCGGGGCATCGCAGGCGGGGAGGACCGATTGAAAGCTCGCAGCAGCAGCAGCAGCAGCAGCAGCAGCAGCAGCAGCAGCAGCAGCAGCAGCAGCAGCAGCAGCAGCAGCAGCAGCATGATCGCTTAGGGTTCTCGTTCAAGGAGTCGGGTGCAGGCTCCTCCTGCGCGGCGGTGCTTTCCGGGCTGTCCCAGTACGACGTTGTGATTATAACAGAGGTGCGCTCGCGTCCACCGAATCATGTTCTTGTCTCCTCGTCGCATATATAATTCTCCAGTTTAAGTTTGCATTCCAGCACGTGGCTGTCCCAGCACGAATGTCAGCACGTTGTGATCATATCAGAGGTGCGCTGACGTCTTTTGAGTCGACTCCAATGTCAGCACGTTGTGGTCATATCAGAGGTGCGCTGACGTCTAGTGACCCTTCTCTGGTTGTTGTCTCGGATGTGCATTCTCCGCCTCCTGCGGGCGAGCAAGTTCATCAAGCTTTCTCTGGGAGAAGATAGAACGCCAGAGTACCTTCTCTATGATACCTTCTCATCCCATCATCACACCGTCTCATGCCATTGACCTTACCTCACAACAATTCCCGAACTTGCACTTCACCACCATTTCTCCACCACTCTTACCCACCCCGGTTGTTTCCCACCCCGGTCCTCTTCCCCCTCCGTCTTCCTCCTTCCTCTCACACGCGTTCGATTCCCACCAGGGCAGCACAGCAGCGCGCGTGGTGTCGCTGGCGGGGGTGCGAGGCACAGCCATGGCGGCAGGGCTGTCTGCGAAGGCTGGAAGGTCGACAGCAACTCGTTTTGAGACGTCGCATAACAAATTCATTATCACATGTCCCTCCCCTTCCGATTCCCTCCAGGGCAGCACAGCAGCGCGCCTGGTGTCGCTGGCGGGGGTGCGCGGCACAGCCCTGGCGGCAGGGCTGTCTGTCAAGGCGCTGTGGGTGCTCGACGGCCACTTGCATGGCGGCTCCTCCTTCTCCTCGCTCTTTTCTCTGCAGTATGACCAACGGTAAGCAGTACACACAGGCACGGGCACGGGCACAGGCACAGGCACAGGCACAGGCACAGGCACAGGCACAGGAACTGGTACAGGGACAGGGACACGCACACGCATGTGCACTTGCACAGGCAGATGCACATGCACATGCAGACAAACATACTCCATCCATGACCAATGTGCAAAAACCAGTTCCCTCATCAACCCATAGTCCCTTCTTGCTGCTGCTCTCGCTGCGCTGCCGCCGCCCCTACTGCCGCCATTACCGCTGCTGCTGCTGCTGCTGCTTCTGCCGCCGCCGCCGCCGCCGCTGCTGCTGCTGTTGCTGCGGTCTTGTTGTTTGCTTGCTGCGGCCCTGTTCTCACCCTTGCCATACTCTCTGTGGACGTGGACGATGTGACAACAGCATGTGTTACCGGCCTGCTGGAACAGGCTTTTGAGTTTACTCAAAACTGCGGCCCTCTTCTTACCCTTGACAGGTTTTCTGTCGACGATGTGACCACGGCATGTGTAGTGGACGTGCTGGAACAGGCGCAGCAACTCTCGCTTTCGTACAAAGAGGTAACTTACCCTTTTTCGCTTGAGCAGAAGAATGGTGTTTTACCATCCCATCCGTACAGGAGAAAGAGGAGACTGTGTTTTGTCTTTGAAAACTGAACAGTGATGTGCTCCGTCGACTTTTGAGTCGACTCAAGCGTCAAATCAAATCTTGGAAATGTGGTTTGCGCTTGCAAGCAGAACAGAACAGGGATGTGTCACTTGATATAACGATTTGGGTTGTGTAATCACTGTGTGACAGCGTCCCCCTTACCTTCCCCTGGCCCATCATTCCATCCTACCGTACCTTTTTCCACCACCACTTTTAGCTCATGGCACCCTGTCTACCTACCTGTGTGTGTCCCATCCTAACTTTGCTGCGTGCGCCACTCTGCTCCCCGCTTGCTCGCAACAACACAGGTGTGTGTCGGCGAGTGCAGCAGCGCTCGCCAAGCAGCAGCTTGCGGTGTTGGGAGCAGGAACAGGAGCGAGAAGGGGAGTGGCAGCGGGAACGGGAGCGGGAGTGGCAGCGGGAACGGGAGCGGGAGTGGCATGTCTGTCGTGAGAATGCTGCTGTCGGACCGTGCACTGGCAGCACCCTCAGGGGTATGTGATGTGATGTGATGTGATGTGATGTGTGTGATGTGTGTGATGTGTGTGATGTGTGTGATGTGTGTGATGTGTGTGATGTGTGTGATGTGTGTGATGTGTGTGATGTGTGTGATGTGTGTGATGTGTGTGGTGTGTGGTGTGTGATGTGTGATGTGTGCGGCATGTGGTATTTTGTATGTGCAGCAGGGAGGGGCTTTTGAGATGTTTTCAGAGGCATGTTCGTCGTGGGAATTCTGCTGTTGGACTGTGTGCGCTGGCATCACTTTCAGGTGTATGTGATATGTGACGTGTATCTTTGGATTTTCTCAACAATACCGCACACCTTTCCTTCCCTTCCCTCTCAAACTATACCACAATTTATTTCTCACGTCTAATAATATCCTTACTCCTTCCGTTCCCCACCTCTCCTTCCACTGCAGACCCACCTCTGCTGGTCGGCTGCTGACCTGGCATCCAGCCTGCAGGCGTTCCGTCCAGCTCAGCACATCCTCCGCCAGCTGGCGGCAGAGGACCTGCCACCTGTGCAGCAATCCACCGCAGTCTTCCTCGAGGTGAGCAAAATTGTGTCTCATGTGGGGAAGTGTCTCACTCTTAACTAAAAAATGTTGCAAATTTCTGTCGTTACCCTAAACCCAAAACATTAGGTTTCCCTTGCACACTCCTGTCCAGGCGGCCTTGCCAGCTGCTCCCGTCTGCCGCCTTCCTGCACCAACAGTCACCTCTCCCCTTCTCTCCCCCCCTCCACTCTCCCCCGTACTCTCCCCCACACCCCTCCCCTCCCTCCTCCACCCGCTCCCTTCTTCCCCACCACATTAGGATATTTCTCTAGACTCCTGCCCCACGAACCGAACCCCTTCTCTCCTGCACGGCACCAACGGCCATATTCTTCCCTTCTTCCCCACCCCCCTTTCCTTCCCCCATCAGGACACCCCTCTAGACACCTGCCCCGGCTGCCCCGCCAACCTCTCCCTCCTTGTCCCCCCTTCCTGCACCAACTGCCGCACCCTCCCCTTCTCCCACTCCCTCTCCTCCTGCGCCGCCCGCCGCATCGCCTACGCCGCCCTGCGCCGCCCGGACCGCGACTTCACTGTGGCTGCTACAGTGCCGGCTGCCGCCCTGGCTGCGGCCGGCATGTTCCACGAGTCAAGGGCGCCACTGATGCTGCAGGCAACGCGAAGGAGGGGGGAGTTGGGGTGCGGAACAGGGGCGTGGTGGGGGGGATGGGCGGGGGGGAGTATCTGGGGAGAGGTTCGGGGAGCGGGGGGCATGTGGGGAGGGCGTGGCAGGGGAAGGGGGTGGAAGAAGTGGGGGAGGAGGAGTGGGTGGTGGGGCGGTGTGCTTGGAGGGAGGCAATGGGGGAGCGGTGGAATGGAGAGTTTGTGGTGGTGGAAGTGGGTTCTTGGGGGACCAGCAAGAAGGGAGCTGTGTGCTCAGCTAGAGGTGCGTGGTGAAACAGTGGTGGGATGGGATGGGTGTGACACAGGTAGAGTTAGATCTGAAGTCTACCAAAAGGTCAACCGCAATACAATGAGCGAATGCTCCCCTTCAACACCCCATCCCACCCCACCCCACCCCACCCCACCCCACCCCGCCCCATACCAACCCCTCAGATCGTGGAGTTCCTCGCGCTGGCCCACGCGCCCTCGCTCTTTTTCGCCCTCCACGATTCCCCCGAGGCCCGCCTTCTCACAGCCTTCGCCACTGCTGTGAGGGGTCCCCTCGGCCTCCCCCCTGCTGCTGTGGAGCCGGCTGTCTGCCCCTCGCCCGTGCTGCCGCCGCTCGCTAGCCTGCGGTTTGCACAGCAGATGATCATGGACGGTGAGAGATGGACGGTGAGAGATGGACGGTGGGGAATGGACGGCGGAGGATGGACGGTGGGGGATGGACGGTGGGGGATGGTCGGTGGGGGATGGACGGCGAGAGATGGATGGCGAAAGATGAACGGTGGGAGACGGACAGTGGGAGATTGACGCTGAGAGCTTTAAACGATGAAGCAATAAAAGTCTTACATCAGCTGAAATTCCCAAGGAACGTCCAAGTTCAACGTTTTCTTGTCCCTACTTTCCCACGATGCTCCTTGTGAAAACATCTCAATGAGAACATGCAAACATTCCCATTCCCATTCCCATTCCCATTCCCATTCCCTTCAATCCCCCTTTCCCCATCCGCACCACCCTCCCCACCCTCGTTCCCCCATCCTCCCTCCCCACTGCAGAGAAGCTGGGGGTGATGTACTGTCAGATTCAGAAGGTGGCGTCAACGAGCTGGAAAATGTGGATGCGCAGCGAGCGGGGATTTAAGCACATCTCCTCCTACTTCCACACTCACCACGCGGGGGTGAACGGGCTCACGCTCATGCGGCGAGAGATGGGAGAGGACGACGTCATGTTCCACATGACTCGGCGCGACCTGGTGAAGGTGGTGTTTGTGCGCAACCCGTTGCCACGGTTGTTGTCCGCGTATGGGGACAAGCTGGCTAATGGTGGGGAGAGCCGCAACGTCAGCATGTGGAACGAGGTGGGTTTCTGGGTTGCCGCTTTGCTTGAACGGGTTGCTGCGCTGGTCTGGTGAGATTGGGTGGATTACGGTGCTGGTGGTGGAGAGGGGAATGGAGATGAGGTGCCATGTCAGCATGAGGTGCCATGTCAGCATGAGGTGCCATGTCAGCATGAGGTGCCATGTCAGCATGAGGTGCCATGTCATGTCAGCTTTTGAGGCGCCTCAAAATGTCAGCATGCGGAACGAGGTGGGTTGCTGCTGCTTTGCTTGTACGGGTTGCTGCGCTGGAGGTGAAGGGGATCGAGGGGAGGTGCCCTGTGGGTGTGTGTGTGGCGAGGCGAGGCACGTATTCTGGTATTGCAATCCATGCTTATCCAGATCTCTTACTTCAAACCAATGCATGAGACAAGCTAGTTTTGGGAAATTTCAAGAACCAATCTGTCCAATCTGTGTTTGAACCAGCGCATGATTGTCCAGATCTTGTTGTCCTGTGTGTGTGTGTGTGTGTGTGTGTGTGTGTGTGTGTGTGTGTGTGTGTGTGTGTGTGTGTGTGTGTGTGTGTGTGTGTGTGTGTGTGTGTGTGTGTGTGTGTGTGTGTGTGTGTGTGTGTGTGTGTGTGTGTGTGTGTGTGTGTGTGTGTGTGTGTGTGTGTGTGTGTGTGTGTGTGTGTGTGTGTGTGTGTGTGTGTGTGTGTGTGTGTGTGTGTGTGTGTGTGTGTGTGTGTGTGTGTGTGTGTGTGTGTGTGTGTGTGTGTGTGTGTGTGTGTGTGTGTGTGTGTGTGTGTGTGTGTGTGTGTGTGTGGGTGTGTGTGTGGGTGTGTGTGGGTGTGTGTGTGTGTGTGTGTGTGTGTGTGTGTGTGTGTGTGAAGCAGTGTCGAAAGACTGCCTGCGTACGCCTTACATGCCTCTCTCCTTGTGATTACCGTGCAGCTGTTGTTGGGCCATGAGCGCTTGAAGCGCCACGGGTTCGCGGTGAACAGCACTGTGAGCTTCAAGGATTCCGCTCGCTTGGTGGCTGAGATTCTCCGAGAAACGGGCGGTAATGGGGATAAACATATTGCCACACAGGTACGAAAGCAGACTTACCGTACATGACTGCAAGTGACTGTATTGGACCTAAAGCTTCCATGATCTTTGTTCCTATAGCTTCCATTATCTTTGTTCCTATAGTTTCCATTATCTTTGGACCTAAAGCTTCCATTATCTATCATGAACCCCACTGTCAGACCAGAGTCGCTTTTGAAAAGTAAGAAAAGGCTACTGTCCAATGCAACATGCAGCTTTGTTGGCATCAAATCTCTACCCTTGAGTCTGCCTCTGGGATGGGGCTTCCTCTGGGATGGGGCTAATTCCTCAGTTGTTGACGCCTCTTTTCTTCTCATTCTTTTTTGTTTTTGTTTTTGTTTTGTTGTGTTTTGTTTTTGCTTTTTTTCTTTCCTTTTTGTTCTCCTTCCTTTACATAATGGCGTGATTTCCCCTCGCATGTGCCCCCTGACCCTTGCCGTTCTTTCAATCCGCACGCTTGCAGACACAGCTGTGCGGACTGGACATGATCAAATACAACATTGCTGGCAAATACGAAACTCTGCAAGAGGACATGCTACAGGTGGTGAGCAGGCTGAACCGGTCGACGGAAAACGCGATGAAGATTATCAAGCTGGGATCTGAGTTCCACAAAACAAGGGCGGAGCAGCGCATGCGTGCAGCGTATGATAAGGTACGGTCTAGCAGCTTTGCTGTGCTTCTCTTCGCAGTGATTGGGTACAGTGCGTAAACGCCTTTCCCTTCTGTTTGGATTATCTGAAGTATGGTAGTAGCGAACATGTTTGCTAACTCTTGCCTTTGTGCCGTGCCGACTCATGGTCTTATGATGTCCCTTCAATGCTCCCCCTCACTGTCATGCCATGCCTCAGGACACTATCAAGATTGTGGAGTCAGCATATGCTGCTGATTTTGATATTGCATTGAATAACATTAGTTACAGTGTTCCTGATGTTCTTCAAGATATTGGAGTAGCTGATGCTCCTGTAAAAGTGAATGGACTAGATGTCATTTGAATTGAAGGTGGTAGTGGTCAATTTATCAGTGCTCGCATACACTCCTTAACAACACAGCGAGGAGCCGTGTGAACGAAGACATTCGAAGAGCAACACACTTGGTTTAGGGCTGACATGCATCCAGGCCCTCACGCACGCACACACCTTCAAACCAGGGTCCCACGTAGATCATTTGTTTTGCAGTTGATGGGAAACCCCCGTTTCCCATTGGTTGACGAGGTTGGAGAAACGAAAAGGGGTGCAATGAGGGATGAGAAGGGAACAAAATCGTTTGCTGTGTTCCAAACTGTTACGATATGAAGTTTTATGAGTAAGGCATTCCTGTATGCTGCAGGAGCAGACTCTACCGAGTACGAAGTCGAGGAGTCAGAAGAGTCGAAACGTCGCAGCAACCGCCTGACCAAGACCAGTGCAGGCATAAACACTTGAAGTTGTTGGGCTGAGGATTTCAGCCTTAGGATCTTTGCAGAGAATAGGGTAGTAGGTGCTAGAGTAGCACAGCGGAAGTCCTTTGAGTGAATGTACTTGTGCTTGTCAAAGTTTGAAGAAAGAAAGAGGATTGAACTAGCAAGAATGAGGATACAAATAGCAAACCCTAGAAGGGTTGTACTCGCTATAGAGCACCCCACTACAGGCTAGAACAATAAGATAATATTCTGACACACCCCCATAGCCAAAGTGGGGTGTAATCAGCAGAGCAGGCAAAGCAAAACAAGCTCAGGGTGGATCACAATGTCACCACACATTCTGAGCACAAGTTCAAGAAGAAATAGTTTAGAGTTCACAATTATAAGCAAAGCTAGTGGTAGTCACAACGGGCAAGTGAGGAGGAGGAGGGAGAGTGAGGGGAGAGGAGACAGGAGGCGACGGCTGAAGCTGCAGACACACGGGCAACAGGAGGCAGACTGGCACAGCGGCTACCGGATAGCGCCCGGACTACAGGAGTAACAGGCCCCGCGGCTCAAATAGCGGCGGACGGGCAACGGACCCACAGGCGGCTGGCACAGCTGGCTACGACTGGGCTACCGGGACAGCGCCCCGGACTACAGGTGCTGCTGACGACAAACTGGCAACCTCCGCTCATCCTCCCGCACACAGTCCCACCCCCCTGATACACACCCACTGCTACACCACTAGCTCTACTCCCACGCACCCCCCTAAAACCCTAAACCCAGTCTCCCACACAGCCACCCCCCTCAGCGACAGCTGCAGCAGTGGGAGACGAAGGAGGAGGAGGAGCAAAGGGAGGAAAGTACACTGGCCACCCCCATACCTGCCACCCCACAGCGCGCGCGGCCCCCGAAGGAGCCGCGACGGGCGACGGGAATTGGGGGGGAGGGGAGAAAAAGGGGGGGGGGGGACGGGGCCGGGGCCGCGACGAGGGGCGGGGCCGCGACGGTCGGGGCGGGGCCGCGACATAGGGCGGGGCCGCGACGTAGGGCGGGGCCGCGACATAGGGCGGGGCCGCAACGTTGGGCGGGGCCGCGAAGGTAGGGCGGGGCCGAGCCGGGCAGGCGCACGGGCGGCGACGGGCCGGGGCGGGGCCGCGACGAAGGGCGGGGCCGAGCCGGGCAGGCGCACGGGCGGCGACGGGCCGGGGCGGGGCCGCGACGTAGAGCGGGGCCGCGTCAAGGGGCGGGGCCGCGACGTAGAGCGGGGCCGCGTCAAGGGGCGGGGCCGCGACGATCGGGGCGGGGCCGCGACGTAGTGGAGAAGCCCGCCGCGCGCCTCGGGGCGCACAGCGGGCAATGAACCGCCGCGCGCCTCGGGGCGCACGGCGGGCAGAAAACCGCCGCGCGCCTCGGGGCGCACGGCGGGAGGAAAAAGTAGCAGCGGAAGCGAGGTGGTAACCCACCCACAGGATCGATCCAAGGGGATCGACCTGCTCTGATAGCATGTCAAAGTTTGAAGAAAGAAAGAGGATTGAACTAGCAAGAATGAGGATACAAATAGCAAACCCTAGAAGGGTTGTACTCGCTATAGAGCACCCCACTACAGGCTAGAACAATAAGATAATATTCTGACAGTGCTGGTATGTGAGAACAAGTAATTGATTAAAGCAAAGAGCATACAGGAATATATAGGAAAGATAGATTACAGGAAGCGGTTATGTTTATCGAGACGCGTAACGCTTCGACTATCGAGGTGGTTACAGTTCACTGAAGCGTCGCTTGCTGTTACGTAACCTCCAGGCGGTTACAGCTCGCAACCTCCAGTTGCGGTTTGATGTGGTACGCGCCTTTTTCGACTTCATACCCCTTTTGTTGTGCTTCAGTATCGGGTGAGGTTCGATACTACAGAAACGCACTAAGTCATGCGTTTATATTCCCAACACTCCCCTTCGTTTCTGGAGTGTCGACGTGGTCAGCTTCGGTCACGTGGCCCAATCCGGTGAGCAGCATGCAGTACTCGAATTTCCCCTTTGGTAGCTTCTTGGTGAGATAATCTGCTGCCATCTCGGTGGTCGGGCAGTAGTCCAGCTGGAGTTTTCCCTTCTCAATTTCGTCTTTCACGAAGAAGTATCGCAGTGCGATATGCTTGGTTCTGTTGGCGAAGCCATTCTTGTTCGCGATCTGTATCGCGGACTGGTTGTCGCAGAAAAGCGAGAAGCTGGGTACTTTCGCAATTTTCGCTTCTTCCAGCAGTTCGCGCAGGTTCAGACCTTCCTTGGTAGCGGTGCAGAGAGCAATATACTCTGCTTCAGCAGATGATAGTGCGACGAGTTCCTGCTTACTTGATTGCTAGGAGATAGTTCCGACGGGCTCGAGACGGTAAATGTAGCCGGTGCGAGAGCGACGATCGACACGATCAGCAGCGTGATCAGCGTCGACGTAGCCGAGTAGTTTTAGGTCGGTCGTCGTGCTCTTGTGATACGTTAAGCCAACTGTTGGCGTCGAGATGAAGTAGAGAAGGGCACGGTTGAGTTCCTTGAGATGACGTTGTTCTTGGCGCTTGAGGTAGGTCGCTAGCTGGCTGGCGCTGTAGGATAAGTCCGGTCGGCACGTAACGGCGGCAAAGAGTAGGCAGCCCAGTTTCTGTTGATATTCCTGGATTCCGGCAGACGGCAGTAGGTTGGTTTCTTCAGTTGGGTCGGGCGATAAGTGACTGTAGGGTGTTGCGACGTGCGTCGGTGTGAAGCAGAAGCGTTCGGCGATAGTGCTTGCGTATTTTGAGGCGCTGAGATGAATGGCGTTGTCTTCGTCGAGAATGTTGAGCCCTAGGTACTGCGTGACGTTGGGTGAGACTGTGAGAGAGAGATCTGTCTGAAGCTCCTTTTCGAACCAAGTGACGATGGTGGTAGTTGACCCGATGTAAAGTAAATCGTCGACGTAGACGATTAGCAGGACGTAGTCGTTGTCGTGAGTGAGGCGATACATGCCCTGGTCATGGGGCAGTTGGTTGAATCCGATGCGTTTAAGTCGTGCGTGCAGGTACTGCTGCCAGAGTCGCGGTGCCTGCTTAATTCCGTATAGTGATTTAAGTAGTTGGCAGACAAGGGAAGGGTCGTCGACGAACCCGTGGGGCTGTTCGACGAAGATTTCAGCGTCGACTAGGGCGTACAGAAAAGCGTTGGCGACGTCGATTTGTCGGAGTGGGCGGCGACGTGAGGCGGCGATGGCAAGGAGTATACGCAGGGAAGTATGTCGACTGACTGGTGCAAAAGTTTCAGTGAAGTCGCGACCATACTCTTGGTCGAATCCGCGGACGACCCATCGAGCTTTAAATCGTTCGATGGTTCCGTCGGAGTTGGTTTTGATCCGGAATACCCATTTTCCGGAGAGAATGGGTCTGTCTTGTGCGAGTGATGCAGGGACGACCTTCCAGGTGTTGCGGTCTGAAAGCGATTTTAACTCCTTTTCCATGGCTTCGCGCCATTTTTCTTTGTGTTCCCCCCCCAGAGCCTGCTTGACAGAGCGAGGCTCTTCAGGTGGCGACAAAGGCCCGTGCACTGCAGCGACGAGTCCCAGGACTTGGAGTCCGCTGGGGGTGTGACGGTTCAGCAAGGGATCCTCGGGATAGACTGCTTCGTCTCCCGCTTCAGGATCAGGTGCGAATCCGGGGCCGTATCGTTCAGAGATGTTGGTGTTGACGGGTTGGGGTGTTACGTAACCAGTGTCGGCGAAATGGTAGTAGACGTCGACATTGTTGCTGTCGCGAGGATTTTCCTCGTCCATGGGGATTGGGACGGAGCAGTAGGGAAGGGGTCCAGCAGCTTCGGAGGCGCCGTCGACGTTTTCTTCTTCCCAGTCAGCAGCGTTGGAGGGTGAAGCGAAGGCTCGGGAACCAGAAAATCCGCCGGTGGGGTCGACGTGGCGTGCGATGTTGTCCAGGTAATGGTTGAGGGTGAGTCGCTCGTAGAAGATAACGTCACGTGCTGCTACTGTTTCCTTTGTGTGGACGTCGAAGATTCGCCAGGCTTCGTAATGTTTTGCCAGCCCGAGGTGTAGACCCCACTGTGCACGTTGCAAAAATCTCCCTGCGCGTGCAGTGTGTGGGCGGTACTGTACCATACACCCAAAAACTCGTAACATTTTTGTGTTGCCCAGCTTCCCAGTCCACAACAGGTGCGGAGATGCGTTGTTGGGCAGTGAAGACGAGGACAGCAAGTTGTGCAGGAGGACAGCGTGGTCCATCGCTGCTGGCCATTCTGAGTTGGGGAGTCGAGTTCCACGTAGCAGCTTTCGCATGGTTGTCTGCAGGGTCCTGTTCATCCTTTCTGCCACACCCTGCTGTTGGTGAGCGTAAGGAAGAGAGATGAGGCGTTTGATGCCTCTTTCTGCCAAGAACTGTTTGAAGCGATGTGACTGGTATTCCATCGCGCCATCTGACTGAAAACTCTTCAGTTTTACTCCCGAGTCTCTTTCAGCGACAGGTAGCCAGGCTGTGAAGGCTTCTAGAGCCATGTCTCGTGACGGTAAGTTGACGTGCCAGACATATCGCGTTGCGGCGTCGATGAAGGTGATGACGTAGTTCAGATCTTCACGTCCTTCAGTTCGAGG